CCCCCCTTAATATTCTGGTTTGTAGAATTAGGTATGTTTATTATATTTTTTTTTTTTTTTAATCCCTGAAGGATGCAAGTGATTTTTTTTTTCTTTTAGGAATGCACAAAGCTACTCATAGCTGGCTTTTGTATGTTGTTTATAGTTATCAGAGATGATACTACTATGACTTAGATTTGTTAAACATGGTGTGAAGCTTCCTAGCGTTCATCAGAAGTCTGCTTATCCAGAAATGTATCTTGTTAATGCTAGTGTATATTTTGTCAAGTTAAAACTATTTCTTATCCTAAACGATGGCAAAGAATTTTAACAGCTTGTTTAGAAAACGCTGATCTGCGCATATAAAATGTAGCGATCTGTGGAAAGGGTTGAGCATTTCACTACCAGCATTAAATGCTGCAGCTGCCTGCACATCTAATGTGTATCAGCAATTATTTGGTCACTTCAGAATCATCTTTCATTTTTTTTAAAGGGTGAATCAGATGACTCCATTCTGCGCCTGGCAAAAAATGACGGAATTGTTTCCAAGTACGTATGTTTATCTTATCCTCTAACTCTTGCAGGGGTAACATGCATATCCAAATCCAACGTTTAGGTTGAAAATGTATACGCTGTATTTATAGGGTGGTTAAAAATATTTACTTGAACTGTTAAAGCAAACTAGTTTGTAACAAGGTTTGTTTCATTTTGTTTTAGGAACTTCTAACTGAAGAAACTCCAGTATGGAACATCTGACGTAAAATAAACAGTTCAAACCCATTTGGTCCTGTGTCTTTTGTTAAAGTCCTAAAAATTGCTGGATTTTTTTTGAGTAGTCTTAGAAGACTTACAAGGTGTGTCTTCAAAAGATACACAGATTCTGGATTATGAATTCTTAAAACAAATCAGGTTGTAAAGCAGTGTCAGAGTTGAAAATCGGGAATTTCCGCTTCGCTCTTTGTCACTATCATCGTCCTTTTCCACATTTAGTAAGTTTTGTAATGTAGCTCAACTCCTCTTTTGATCTGTAATGGAACATTTTGCAATGTGGCAATCTAATTCAGCTTGCTGCTTTTTCACTGGGAAAACTAAGAGGATTCTTGCAGTTACGATATCAAAGCTTAATGATTTTTCTGCTGATAGAGGCTCGTAATATTCTGCCATTGACACACATTCTTTAAGCAAATTATTAAAACTGGAATTCATGGAAAACCATCTTAGCAGAATTACTTCTTGGCACGCTAGCAGATTGATTGCCACGTGCAAGAGACTCTTGAAGTTTTACTTTTTTTACTCTTATATAAGACCCTGATGTAAAAAAGCAGAGAAATAATTTAAGGAAAAATAAATCTGAATATTTGGCAATATTTCAATAAATTACTTAATAGCCCTTTAATGGCTAGATAGACTTTCTGCCTGCTGATGTGGGTTGGTTTTTTTTACTTATCTTACTAGTGGAACCAAGGGAGGATGCTAGCACACACACACACAGGTTTTCTAGTTTGAAAGAGTTGCTTCAAGTTTTTGCCTGTTGTGCTTCAGGTGTTTAGTTTGAATTTGAACCGGTTGGTTTGAAAATGTAAAGCTTCCGAAGCAGCTAGTGTGAAAGACAAGTATTTGTTGGTTTGCACTACGCCGATACTGAAACTACGAGCTTTGCCGAGTTACTGCCAGGCATTAACTTCAGATACAGCTAGTATCTTAGAAGTAAGGTTGGTTATCCTGCAGGGCTGAGATCATTGATGGACTCTCAAGCTGAAATGTTTTAAAAAAAAAAAAAAAAGTCTACAATCACAATCATCCTGACCTCGCAGTACCATATTCTGACACCTCTGAACTTGCTTCTGCTTTGTGTGCCAAACCATGCCAGAAATGCATTGTTTCATGGCCTTTTTTTTTTTTGGTCTTTTTTCATCAGCTCTTCACGTTCCGCTTTGGTGTTGCATTTGGGAAGTGCGATGCTTAAGGTGCTGTAGCTGTACTAATGAACCTTTGGGATCTCCTGTGTCATTCTCCTGGGCCGCGGTGCTTGTGACAGTATTATGACTTTGTTATGTCTTAACAGCATTAAGCACTGTATTAAAATGCAAAAGCTCTCCACAATCTTTTTTTCCTATACTGTCTGCAGAAATTGAGACTCAGAATTGTGCTAAGACGGAAGCAACTGCTGGCACTAAGGTATGGGTATGAGAAAGGAGAAAGAAAAGCGTTCAGATGCTTTATACTTTAGTGTCTTAAAATCAATAGTACCTCTATCGGGAAAAGGGATTTCTGATTTTCTGTGGCTATAATTACAGAAGGACTTAAACCACTATGTCATTTCTCGTGATATAAAGTCTCTTTGATGTTTGTTTTCCAGGAGGGATACAAGAAACGACTATATCCTTTTTTCCAGGTGCTGCTTTTGTGTTGGTAGATTTGTTTGCAGGCAGTAGATTTATTTGTCAGTTGGTGCTTATCATTTAAAATAGAATGTGATACGTGGTTTTGGTAGTTTTAAAATATGCCAGTGTGATATGACTGGTAGTGAAAACTTCCATTGTCAGCTGCATTTTTCTACTATTATTTCATAATATCTACACCTACACACAGGCTGTCCTTCAGGTCATGCGTTCTCAAGAATTACTGAGGGAGGTCGTATCCAGATTATACCATGTTCGCTCCTGTGTGATCATCTCTAGGACGATGTTTGCAGTTGTCCTTACTCAAATCTCTGCATAGACCCTCTCTCAAAGTTCTCTCAAGTGGTAGAAACTGTTTCAGTGATGCTTTCCTGTTTATGCTGTAAGCTGTCTCTGCGTTGAGCTGGTTACCATGTGCCTTATTTCTGACTTGTTTGCTGTGGATGCACGTGGGTGTGGGAAACTTAAGCCTCAGACTTTTCTCTGGAGAGGCTGGAATGCTGTCGCCTCTGAACGAAGAAGGAGGATGGCTGAACTACCCAAGTGCAGTATCTTTCTCCTTACCTGTGGTTTTTTTACTTCTCAGACATGTCAAAATGCAGTGTATTTCTTTGGAAGGTTCTGTTTGGCACTGTGGATACCTGTTGAATCCAAGCGTAGCACATCAGGCTGCGTTAACGTGCAGTTGCGGTGCGGTGTGTTTTTTTTAATTTGAATCAGTTGTTTGGTTTTTTTAAACCAAAAAGTGAATTAGGATTCCAGTTGCAAGCCGCTGTATGGATATAATGAAGTACGTAACTAAACCTTTGTTTCGGGAGCAATTTCAGCAGAGAAATCTGAAATCAACAGGCCGTTATTAGCTCTTTTTAGCAGAGCTGTAAACTGAAATATCTTTGGTTGCATGTTCCGTCTTTCTACTGATAATGCTTGAATTTATTAGTCCTCCTCCATGCTGGTAGAAGTTTTAAAAGATAAACTCCTGGATGTTTCACGTAAGGGAGAACTCAGCTAAAAAGACCAAAAAAAAAAGGCTTCATGTTGAATTCATGTTGAAGTTAATAATACTGCAGCGAAAGAGAGACACCTTTTAAATACCACAAGCAGGAAAAAGAAAAATTAACCCACGCTTTATTTTTGAGCTATTTTCTTCTGACATCGAAGTCAACCATGAAAGATGCATTAAAAAAGAAAAGGCGGGGGTTGCGGGGACTGTTAGTTGTGATTGTCCTGGAAATAATTCATTTTTCCAGCAGATAAATCTCTGAAAACACTTTCTGGAAAGACAAATAGAGTCTGCAAACTGGAGAGATTTCTGCTTGGCTTATGTCCAATCCTCATTACTTTCCTTTGTACACAGTAAAAGGAGATAAGTTTTAATTGGACTTGATGTTTCTTTCTGACATATCTTAAATTAGCTGCTTCTGCCTTGGCGTTAGGTTAGAACTTTAAATAAAACCAGTAACTGTTTACTGCTGATAAATGCCTAGTTTACCAAAGAGTTTAAATATTGTTGACTTGCTTCTAATCCCCTGGGACTCTGTTCATCCATGTGGATTTCAGTGGAATTCCTCTGTAAGGCAAAGCGAACTGACAGCTTAAAAGTTCACGATGAATTTGAGGTCTCTCAGATGTCTTTTTAAGCAACCGAACTCCATTAGCGTACAGCTATACCAAATTTGCACTTCTGTATTGATTAAGTATTTAAGAATTATGTTGTAATTCAAAACTTTCTTTGCTTTGTAACACTGATTGTTGCCATTTGTTTTTCAGAATTTTTAAAAAATAGAAGCAAACTACTTTTTCATTAATTTCTTGTCAAAATAAGCTTAGGAAATGTCACGGTGCCATATCCTAAAACCCAGTTCGATGGGAGATGGATTAGTGCTGCGCTAAAGGCTTCCTGAAGTTCACACCATCTTCACCAGCGGGACTGCATAGCACAGGAGGTCTTAACAAAAATTCCTGCAGAATCCTAACAAGGGAGGACATGTGTCCCTTTAAAAATCAATTTTGAGTTGCATTTTCTAGTATTGTGATGTAAAATGTTCTTTGTTTTCCTGGGACAGGAATAGTTCAGATCTTCCAGAGCCATGAAAGGGAATGAACTGTACTTGTACTGTACAAGATGGACAGAGTTGCCCTTACATGGTTACATTGCACCAAGTCGTGAAATTCTTTTCTGTTACTTACGAGGACTTGGCAGTGGCATCCTAAAGCCATCTGATTTAACTGGGGCTATTTTAGTGTCTTTGGCCAAAATTTTGCTCCTCAGGCAGAGCCTGTCTACTTAAAACACCTTGTTTGTTGGTAGGAGCGTGTAGATGTCTTAATGCTGATTTGGTTTCTTTTAAGCCTCGACATTCTTTTAATGAATTACACGGTGTTGCAGAGCTGCTTTAGTCGACCTCAGCCGTAAGTACGGTGTGACCAGAGGCCCGGGGTTAGGTGGCCGCTGCATCTCCTGTGGCTGGGGGCACGCCATGGGCAGCTCTGATAACGTCACCCTTGCCAGGTGCCGAGCGGGCAGCAGGCTGGTGGGGCTGGGAGAGGACAAGAGGCAACGTGCTTCGCCGCCATCGCTTGTGCTTTACTGCCGAAAGGAGCGCTGTGACTCAGAGGAGGAATATAAAGGGCCAAGAGCGTCTCTTGCCTTCACGCGTGTCCATCACTGCCGCGCTCTGCTCCCCGGCTCCGGCTGCCGAGGAGCGTGCGGAGCGGGGGTTGTCCCAGCAGCGCTCCCGTCAGTGAGGAAGCTGGGACGGCTTGCGAGGGACGCCGTTTCTTTTCCCAAAGCGTTCTGTGATGCCGGAGGCTGCTGGAAGCCTACCTAGCGCACTCAGCTACGCTGTTAGGCTGCATTTGGCAGCGATTTTGTTTTTCAGTTGGATGTTGGGGAGGGCTTTCAACCCCCACCTCCTGTTTTGTTCGGTGGCTGTCGCTCTGTGATGCACAGATAAAAACACCTCTGCTGCAAATATTGCTTTGAATAAACTAAGGGAGCTTTTGGTTTGATTGATTCATTGATGACAGTTTGCACTGAGGCGTCCCAGGGGAGACGGCTTCCCCAGATGTATATAGGACTAATGAGTCATGGCAAAAAACATACAAAACTAATTAGGCATTTATTTTTTTTCCTGCTGGAAAGTATGCTATTGTTTAATATTGGGCGGGAGTTCTCCTTGGCTAAATCCTCAATAGGAACTGCAGGTACTGAGATTTTAAGAATTAATAGCTATTAATAAGGTCAATGTGGGATTTTTTAATGTATTATGATGGAAAAAAGCTATTAACATCTCCCGTGTCCCATGGCAGGTTGAGCGTGGCTGACTGCCGGGCGCCCACCCAGCCGCTCCC